AAGTCATTTTCCCTACCTAATTTCATTGCTTTAGCAATATTATCAAAAATTATTTCTGAATCACAAATGACTCAACACTGCAGACATAAATAGATTGATGCTATCTAAGTAGCGTTAGATTCAGTTACCTCAGTTTTTCTTTTTTTTTGCCTTATGCGGGCCTCTCACTGTTGTGGCCTCTCCCATTGCGGAGCACAGGCTCCGGACACGCAGGCTCAGCAGCCATGGCTCACGGGCGCTCCGCGGCATGTGGGATCTTCCCGGACCGGGGCACGAACCTGCGTCCCCTGCATCGGCAGGCGGACTCTCAACCACTGCGCCACCAGGGAAGCCCTACCCCAGTTTTTAAATACTAAGATTCCCCTTTTTCTGTGTTGACTAACCAAGATGACCAGCATTACCCATAGTCAGGAGCACCTTTCTGGCTGTAGGTTTTTGAAGTTGAAGTTGGAGATTACTTTGCTTGATAATTGTCAACCCAGGTCTCAGATTGCAGAGAGATGTGGTCTAGCCCCTCATTTATCAATTAGTGAGCAGTGACTCACAGATGAAAAACATCAGCATGAAAAAGGCATCTGAATGAATGTGAGTCCTGAGATGATTACCCCCATTCATCCAAATTGTATTATCAATGCTTATGTTTATTTTGACAAGTTTGTCCCAAAAATAATCATCCGGATTGACAATTTTTAGATACCCTAGGCAAGAAGCAGAACTTGCAGTAACAGAAAGCCTTAAAGTTTTAAGTAGTCATAACTCTTGGAAAGTTATTAATGGGGCAAACACCAATAGACTTCACATCCTTATGTGCCAGTGGAATTTGCATCAGGTATTGTGAAGAATAAATGAGCAAAGGCTTGCTCTTGAATACGGGAGGTAAATATTGCATTTGAAATAAAAGTCTGATTTGCCTGTTTAAAGGGAGCTTAATAGGGTTCCTACATTTTTGGATTAGCTGAAATAAAGGCATAAATGGAACACAAAGTAGAAATGAAGAAGGAAAATTTTGCTGCATGGCTTCAGATTATATAACTGTATCCTACCAGAGATGTGACAAGTTTGTTTCTCTCCAAATACACATCAAAATGACCAAGGACAGGAGAAAGTCACCAGAAAACTAGTCATTTTAGAAGCCCAGGTGTTGGGCTTCCCTGGTTGGCGCAGTGGTTGGGAGTCTGCCTGCCGATGCAGGGGACACGGGTTCGTGCCCCAGTCTGGGAAGATCCCACATGCCGCGGAGCGGCTGGGCCCGTGAGCCATGGCCTCTGAGCCTGCGCGTCCGGAGCCTGTGCTCCGCAACGGGAGAGGCCACGGCAGTGAGAGGCCCGCGTACCGCAAAAAAAAAAGAAAATAGACCCCCAGGTGTAGACTGTATTCCCTAGGGCCTATCATTCTGTGTGGTGGCCACTATTTCCTTCTGCTGCTCAAGAGATTTCCAGCTAAAGCTGAAGGATGCCACAGGCCTATCATTTGTCTCTGTAAGATCTGCTGAAAGAAAGTAATTGATCTCAATGGTTTGTATTCCAGCATGATTTAGACATAATGGGAATGTCAGGTGAGAAGGAAGGAAACCAATAGCAGGCATGCCAACTTCAAGTGTCCATTTTATTTTTTGTTAATTTCATCTTGCCTTGTCTCTTTTCTAGAATTTTCTATAAAAAGCATGTCAAAACTGGATTCTGTTTTGTGACCTCAGAAGGGAAGTAAGAAAAATTGGAAACATCTTGTACAGACACAAAATACTGGTGGCTTTATTTATAAAAAAGTGCTGGTTTTGTAAACTGTTTTCCAAGTTAACATTTAACTGTTAGAGGACGGGCAGGACGTGGCACTGTCGAGGACTTTGGAGATTAAATGGAGATCTCCAACACAGGCATGAGTACAGATAGCTAGGAGGTCATGTATGCTATGATAAATGTATAAAGTGTTACCAGAGCACAAAGCACTTGAGTGTGGCATTCCTCATGAGAATCTATTCAGTGGAAACATTTTTGTTAATTATCCCCAAAATGGCAATATAATAACTCTATTGCTTCTCTTCCCCTTTTCCATCAAAAACTATAAAATGAGGGTCAGTATCAAGGAAAAGCTAACATACGAACCTCTTTTATGCAAGTCAACGCAGAAAAAAGAATCAATCTGAGTAGGATTGAAGGAAGGCTGGTAAAGGGACAAATTATATGAGACAGTATGGTGTTTTGTGTGGTGGTGTGTGTGTATAGATAGATATTATTAAACTGAATTTATATATACTCAAATTCAATGTAATGAAATTAATTGATATATTAATTTAATACTATAAAATTTAATTTTATATAATTAAGTATATATACTTATATATACATGATAATAATATGTGTATGTATGTGTGTGTTTAAATTTTAAGTGAAAACTTAAATGTAGGACTGATAACCTCACTTTTCAAATCAATCAATCACCAGGTATTTTTTGAATGCTTGTTTTAGGCCTTTCCTGGAGAGGTATAATCTCATTTGAACTAATATAATAGAAAATAATTTTCAACTAGATGTTAGTTACTGAATTCTAAAAGGCAGAAAGAGGCAGAGGTTGGAGTAGATGGAGAAAGTTTCATAAAGAGAGTATTATTGCGATTTTTCCCTCTGTGGAATATATAAAGATATAGTTATATGGATACTTATGTCATTGTATCCAAGTTCCACAAGGCTAGAGTAGCTTCATTTATTTAGGAAGGTGCAAAATAAAATAAATATTTTTGCCTTAGATTTTGCTATTTGGTCCTTCCATGTGTGCCAACATGGGGAGAATGAAGCATTGACTTAAAAAAAAAATCTAGATAGTTCATGGAGGAAAGTACTGGTGAAAACGTTTATTGATATAAATTGGCCGATAAGTTCTCTACATTGATTAAATTTACTTTAGAATTGCTCAACTCCAAGTTGGGAAAATGTGGTCTTGAACATAAGGAGCAAACATGAGAAAAACACAGAGCTGGGTAATCCATTACTGTAAAGAAATCCTTTTTAGGGAATCACTGCCCAGAACTTTTAGATAGCGCATCAGTGCAAGTGAAGACTTCAGAGGTACCAGTTGTGTTCCCCTGAGATTTGCTTAGCTAACTCTTGGCCGCTTGTTATATAGAAAACTTTCAAAATAAGCATGTGGTTATCACGTTCCAGCATGCCTGAGAATCACCTGGAGAGTGAAAGAAAAAGTCTCCTAAGCATCCTGATTCAGTGTAGCTGGGCTGGGGTGCAGGAAACTGTATTTGAAACCAAAACCCCAGATGATTCCAATAAGAGTGGCCCATGGACCACACTTTCAGAAACTTTTTAAAAATTTATTTCATTGAAGTATAGTTGACTAACAATGTTGTGTTAATTTCTGCTGTACAGCAAAGTGATTCGGTTATACATATGTATATACATTCTTTTTCATATTCTTCTCCATTATGGCTTATTACAGGATACTGAATATAGTTCCCTGTGCTACACAGTAGGACTTTGTTGTTTATCCATCCTATATATAATAATTTGCATCTGCTAATCCCAAACTCCCACTCCATCCCTCCCCCATCCCCCCGCCCTTGGCAACCACAAGTTTGTTCTCTATATCTGTGAGGCTGCAGAAGCTCTTTTAAAGTTTATAAAAATTAGATTTTCTCTTTATATTTCTCTGGTGTTTCCAAAAACAGCTTCTTCATTTTCTATGCCTCATGTGCATTCTACTCACACAAGTCATTGCACTGTTACCACAAGCACTTTGTACTCTCTGCCAAACTTTGTCTTTGGAGCCCAGTTGACTTGAAACGTGTATTTAGCATGAATCTCCTCATTTCTTTCTTTATCACAGCTGTTCTTGCTTCCAAACATCTGTCAGACTTGAAAATTCTTCCCTTGAAGAGCAAGCTATAGCTCTTCATACAGCATAAAAATATGCATTTAGACAGGACTGGGAGACTTCTCTGTTAGTATTTTTATTTATATGGATTTCTTAAAGCTATTCAGCTCACCTCCCTATTTCTCTTGAAAATTATCTTCTGAGTAGTTCAAAAGGTATGAACAATTTAAAAAGAGAAAGAAAAGCAGATGAGAAAAGCAATAGTACTGAAAAGTGAAGTAATGCTAGTTGGTTGTGAATGATGGCTCTCAGCTGTTTGAGAAGCCACTGACAGTCACTGGGACCACTAACTTCAGCATTAGAAGGTATTACCTCACTTTCCTTTAACTTGACAATTGCAATGGATAACCATTTAAGAGTCCCAATTTCCCACTTGCCTCTAGTATTGATTTTCACTTCTTTAAAGCCCCTGGACCCCTTCTCAAATGAAATCTCTGGTACAAGTGCCATTTATAAAACAGACAAGACACAGGTTTACTCTGTTGAAGCTGGGGTGGAAGGCCTAGACCACTGGTTCTCAATTTTTACCTTGCATCAGAATTACCCAGAGGGCTTCTTAGAGTCTGCATGCCACAACTAAAAAAAGATCCAGCATGCCACAGCGATCCCCGGTGCTGCAACTAAGACCTGGTGCAGCCAAAAAAAAAAGATTAAAAAACCATTAGCATTAAAAAAAACTACCCAGAGGGCTTCTTAAAACGAATTGCCGGGCCCCACCACAGATTTTCTAATTCAGTAAGTCTGGTTGGGGCCAGGTGATTTGCATTTCAAAGGAGCACCCAGGAGATATGGGTACTGTTGGCCCAGGGTACATACTTTGAGAACCTCTGGCTTAGCCTCCTTCTCTCTGCCTGATTCTCACCCACTAAAGCAGTTCTGAAGCAGCTCTGGAGCTCATCCTCAAAATTCCAGGGGCTTCTTTGTAGAACCCAGTTGAAGACCATTAATCTACAGGTTAAGTCCACATTCCTTTACTTAAACTCAAAACTCTTTGCATTCTGGCCCCAGCGTCCCTCTAGAGCCATCTCAGTGAAACTTCCATTTACCTGAGACCCAGCTGAACTGTCCCCCTGCACTGCTCTCCAAGCACAGCTTGCTGCCATAGGCCTCTCTGCCTTAGCATGAGATGTCCATGTACATTTCTTTACCCACTTAATTTCTAGGAAATTTTTCTTTCTGAAGTCCAATGCATAGTTTCTCTCTCATGAGGGCTTTAAAACCCACAAATACATTTAAAACTTATCTGGGTGAGGTGCAGATAATAAACTCTCCTGGTATTTAATCCCTCTACCTTAGAGGAAATGAATTCTGAATCAACCTGGCTGACATTAGAACCTACAGCTGCTAAAAATACAGTGTATTAACATCTCACCCAGTGATCATTAATAATAGATAATGTTTGGAATGTTCTTAATGGATTTCACTCAGATTCCCCATGCAATTCTCAGATGTTGATTATGAGCCACAGGATTTATGAAAACTATTTACAGCAGTAACTACCTGCTTATAAAGCTTCTTCATCCAGAGAAACACTAAAGATGCATTAAAGTAGGTCTCCAAGGTTAACTCAAGTTTGTACTTCTGAAAAGTACAAACTAGAAAAGTCGCCATTCAGTTTCAATAAATCCTGTCCCTTATTGTCCTAATTGCTGGACAACCATCCTAGAGTTAATATACATGTTCATTGTGTTTTCTGGGTTTATTCAATGTAAATGAAGTGTCCGTCCATGAGCAGCGACCCCCTAAAGGTCTTAAGTAAGCAATAAAGAATCAGTTCTTCTAACTCCATGGAAACCACAGTTCTGTGTCTTAGAGACAGGCCTAAAATTTGGAGCTCTTTGACCCTATGATCGTATTGGTTTTCACCATTTGACAGTATATTTGAGATTTATTGTCTCTGGTAGAGGGATGACAAGTTTTCATCTTGAGTGTCAACAATAATCAACCAGTAGTGGCTTCCTAGGATGATGTGTTGAGAGTGATTCTGAGGCCACATCTGGACTCCGGAAAGATTACTGTGATAGATTAGCAGTGATGCAAAGAAGGAAATTTATAGTCAAAATACCATGGATGTCTATTCTTATTCTTGAATAAAAACAAAATCTTTTAGCTAGCCTGCGTATATCGCTACCAGGCACGCATCGAGCAGCACATTGAATTATGAAACCAGGGGAAAAATAAGAACCTTATCTGCCTAAAAGATACTTAAGAAATACTCAGTTTTTTTTATCAACACTGTGAATCACATCAGTCTTTAAATTATCTGATGATATGAGCCTTTTCACACAAGCATAATGCATAGGATATGAGGGACAAGAAGCTCTTTATTGTGGGGTGGTGCTGTTTGGAGCTGGACTGAGGGACAAAGTGCAGTTGCCAATGGATAATGTATTAGAAAAAAGAATAACTTTTTCAAAAATCGAGGAACTAATTCATCACAGAATACATACAAAAATAGAGAAAATTATGTTTGCCCCAACATCTCATAGAGTAAGATATAGGGTTAGAAGGAATACTTTGACAAATGACTTTGAAAGAGAAGTGATATTTACCACTCCCTTTTCCTCCACACCCCTGACCCTCCGCCCAATAGCATACTTGAGGAGTTGAAATTACTATTTTTTTAAGCTTCTACATGCAAGAGCCTGATCTAGACACTCTATTTCATAAATGCTGTGAGGTAGCTATGATAATTATCTCAATTTTATAAATGAGGAAATTGAGTAGAGAAAGGTTAGGAGAGTTCAGTATCACACAGCTAGAGAGTGGTCTGCCTAGGAAGATTAGGGCTGGAAACTCTGCTCGTAGCAGCTGCACCATGTTGCCTCCTAGGAAAATGGGCCCCAGGAACTGCAGGAGGTTTACTTGCCCCAGAGCTGAGTTACTCTGAGCAACAGAGGAAGCTGCACCCAGCTTCCATCTTCTTCTTGTTTCACATGCTGGCTAACTTCTCCTTTGAATTAAATGTTGGACCAACGTTTAAAGCATGTCAGTTGAAGAGGTGCCAGTGTTTTTGCCTGCCCGAGGAGCCTACACATCTCAGTCCAGCTCTGATTCTGTCTCTCATACAGGGCCTAAAACAACAAAAGTTTGATTATTCCTCTTGCCTGGCTATGTGCAATATTCACTGATGGGATTTCACTTGGAATGAAATCAGAGGATGTGTTTTCCTTACAGTTTTGGCAGCAGAGAAGCTACCTGACCATGTGGCAGTCCCCATATCCTCTGGCAACAGTTCAATTTCTACTCTTGGGCACATTCATAACCAAAGGCAAAGAGAAGAATAGGAATTGGAGAGATGCAGCCAATACTGTTCAGGATTTCTCACCTAATGTCCTGCTAGTCCCTGACAAAGGTTGAGGATTTGGCACCTCTGCCTCAAGAGCAGCACTATCCAATAGAACTTTGTGTGATGATGGATATGTTCTATATGTCTGCTGTCCAATCAGATAGGCAGTGAGCTCTTGAATTGTAGCTAGAGTGACTAAGGAATTGAATTTTAAATTTTATTTAATTGTAATAAATTTAAATTTGAATTGCCACGTGTGGCTAATAGTTCGCACAGCTCTGGCATTTCTGTAATGGGATTCTACCACACTAGGAACCCTTGAATGTCTGACAGATTTCCAATGTTATTAGAAATTGTTCCCTTCATTTTTAAATTACATTCTTTCATCCAACCAACATTATGTACTCAGTCATTCAATATTTTTGGACACCTACCATGTTCCAGGCACTATTCTAGGTGCGGGCAAAAACACACCTGTGAGCCAAATAGACAAACATTTCTTCTGTTGTGGAGCTTACATTTTAGCACGGTTAGATAGATAATAAGTAATGTACATAATAAATAAGCCTGTAGAACATTTTAGAAGGTGATATACTATGGGGAAAAGGGGAAGGGTGAGGGGAATCAAGATAAGGAGGTAGAGGAAAAGCCTCTGTCTCCACGTCCGTGAACACTGAGAGAAGGAGTACATGAGTAATATAACATGTAGTCCATGCATCCAAGGAGTTAGAGTTTGTTAGGATTTTCTTAGATTAATCTGTCTTTCTTTATGAAATGCCAAATACAAGATGCATAGCACAAAGCTTGTCTTATAATAGGTGTTAACTGCCTCTCTTAGCACCACTCTCAACCCTACCTCACCACCTACCTTCTGTTTCCTTTTATATGTGTATCTAAGCCTTCTGTTTTACTATATCTGGCTCAGGATTGTAGAGTGGGTTTTAAAAAGTAGATAGATATTAGATAGGTAGGTAGGTAGATAGATAATAGGTAGGTAGGTAGGAAGGTAAGTGGAAAGAAAGGAATGTAAGATACATCACTCTATGGTTAGTGGTAGGTGAAATTTGCCAGAGAGCAGACTGTACCCTCAAGGCATGTGCATCTTGCCCAATTATAAGCAGCTCCTCTAAGATCCGTCTAACTACCTCACATTGCTAGATGGAAACCCTCAGGAAAAGCCCAGGTGAACAACTTTTCTAGGCCAGATGCTCAAACAAGATCAGACCCCTAACATGTCTTAGCTAATAAAGGCCATTTGTACCTGGAGTTGATCTACAGTAAAACTTGGGCAAAGTTAGTCTGGTCACTTTTCTACATTCCATTCACGTCTTCCCCAACTTTCTATCCAACTAGTGCTTCCTGAAAGACATCAACATCAGTCAATTATAGCTAAGTAGTGTAACATGAAATATCACGTTAGGCCTTCTAATTGTTGAGCAAAATAGTTGTTTGCCTTTTAATTAATTTTAAAAGGAACTTGGGGCATCTGCTAAGTTAAGGGAGTAACTCTGAGAAAGTAGTGGATCCTTGAAATCACATTACTCAATCTTCTCACATATAAGATATATAACATCCTGTCTCAGGGATAAAACAGAAGAAATCTCTTGTATCCAATCGTTTAAACAAATCACTAACTTTACTACACTGAGCTGAGCCTATGTATTTAGGTTAGTATAATTCATTGTCAAAGATTATTCCTTCTTATTCTCTTGTTCTCTAAGCCCAGCTCTGATGCTTTCAGCTATGTGATCTTTAGCAAGTCAGTTTACCTGTTCAGGCTTCAGATTCTTCATCTGTAAAGTGGTTGTTCTGAAGTTGTATCATTCCTTTATCCTGAACTTCAAATTCCTCAATAGAATTTTCGGATTAGCACTTTTCCTAGAACACACAGACTCTAGAAATATCAAAATATAAGCTTCAGGAGGAGG